AGCTGGACAATGGACAAAGAAGATGAAAGAATTGGTGCCTTGGAATTATGGTGTAGACACATAATATTTAATACACCATGGACTGCCGGAAAAATCTGTCTTGGAAGACAACTTCAATCTTTTCTCCGTTGATAAGAACATTGGTTATTGGTCCAGTGGTGAAGATTTTTATTTTCTTTGCATTGAGATGCAATCCATACCGAAGGCTGTGGTCTTTGATCTTCATCAGGAAGTATTGTAAGTCCTCTTCACTTTCAGCAAGCAAGGTTGTTAATGAGTTTTCCTCCGGTCCTGATGCCACGTTTTTCTTCATTATAACCCAGCTTCTTGGATTATTTGCTCAGCATACAGGTTGAATAAGTATGGTGACAGAATACAACCTTGTCGCACACTTTTCTTAATTTTAAAACATTCAGTGTTCCCATGTTCTGTTCGAACAACTGCTTCTTGGTCCATGTACAGATTCCTCATGAGCACAGTTAAGTGTTCTGGAATACTCATTACTTCGCAATGTTGTCCATAGCTTGTCATGATCCACACAATCAAAAGCCTTTGCATAGTCAATAAAGCACAGGTAAACATCTCTCTGGTATTCTCTACTTTCCGCCAAGATATTTTGGACGTCAGCAGTGATACCCCTCATTCCACGTCCTCTTCTGAATCTGGCTTGAACCTGTGGAAGTTCTCTGTTAATGTATGCTTGCACCCATTTCTGTATTACCTTTAGTAAAACTTTACTTGCATGGGATATCAAAGAGATTGTCCGATGTTTTGTGCATTCTGTTGGGTCACTTCTCTTTGGAATGGGCACAAATACGGATCTCTTCCAATGAGTCGGCCAGGTAGTTGTCTTCCAGATTTCTTGGCATAGATGAGTGAGTGCTTCCAGTGCCGCCTCACTTTCTTGAAAGATTTCAATTTTTATTCCATCAATTCCTGGTGCCTTGTTTTTTGCCAATCCCTTCAATGCACCTTGGACTTCCTATCATTGGCTCTTGATCATATGCTACCTCTTGAAATGGTTGAACATCAACCATTTCCTTTTGGTACAGTGACTCTGAGTAGTTCCTCTATCTTCTTTTTTTTTTTTTTTCGGTCACACCTTAGTCTTTAATTTTTTTTTTCTTTTCTATTTTTATTGTGAATTGAGTGACAGTTCACAGGCAGATCATCAGTTTTACATTCAACAAATCATACACCTTGCTTCATTACTCTAATCCCTTCCATGTACCATCAGTAAACAGTATTTCTCCCTATTATTTTAGCTCTTTTTTTTTTTTTAACACTCAGGAATATATAATAATTCTGTAAGTCTGCCTCCTGGCCACCAGTTCTCAGTCATTCTCTTCCCATGAATCTAGAGTCCTCAGCCACTCCCTCTCTCCATGTCCCCATCTCTGCCTCCATCTCTAGTGTTGCTGCTTCTCTGGATAAGGTCCCACCTTCTGCTTGTGCTCTTCTCCCTTGACGGTCCTAAGGTCCTCTGCTCTTGGACTGTAAGATTAACTACTCCTTCATTTTTATTACAAAACTTCTACCTTTACAATTATGACAGTTACAATTAATCATGATAATAATTACTCACTATTGAATCATAAGAATCTTATCCCCATCTCTCTCTCTCTCTCTTTTTTTTTTTTGTAAGGTTTTTATTGTGGATTGAGTGAAAGTTTACAGGACATATCATCAGTTTTACATTCAACAAGTCACACCTTGTTTCATTACAATGATGATAATTCCCTCAATGTACCATCAGCTGACAGTATTTGTCTCTATTCACTTTAACTTTATTTAAAAAAATAAAACAAAACACTCAGGCATATATAATAATTTACACCTCCAAAGGGCACATTCTCAAGTCTGCCTCCTGGCCATCAGCTCTTAGTCCCTCTCTTCCCATGAATCTAGAGTCCTCAGCTGCTCCCTCTCTCCATGTCCCCATCTCTGCCTCCGTCTCTGGTGTCGCTGCTCTACTGGATAAGGTCCTGCAAGCCACGGACCTCACGAGGTGGTTGTGGAGGGATGTGACAGTGGAGTTCCTGGCCCAAGATAGAATTCCTGTTGGCCTCAGTGTTATCTATGTTCAGGGCACTCAATCCAGAAGTAGTTCATGGAGGCCCTTGATAAAGCTGGTTTCAGTGTCCGTTAGGATCCCAGGGCAGCTTGGGGCAAGGTGACTGGTTAAATGCAGGTCTGGTGGTCCTATGGGTTCTTTAGGTCTGGAGGCGAGCCTGCCTGAATCCAAGCACCAAAGCAGAGTAGCCAGCACCTGCCTCACACTGATGTGTCTACCAACCACGTGGCTCTGAACTCCCAGGGAGCAAGATCTGCGCTGGGGGTGGATGAGGGTGGGAGTGGGCCACACTTCTGATCACCAGTAGAGTGTGGGGAAAAGAAGAATCACACCTTTCCCATTGCCTGTGTGAATCTGCTCTGCCAGACCTCCTTCTGTTGCCAAAACTACTCACAAAAGTTCAAGACGGTTGTGCTGCATCTGGCCAGCCATTCACCAGTTTCTCTCTCTCACCATTCCTGCTCAGCTTCTCCTTCCAGCAAGCGCTCAAGCCTCTTCTCTAACTTTTCCTCTGAAGTTCAAGTTTCAGGATTTTCATCTGTGTCTGTTTCATTTGCTCTCATAGGTTTATTGTAAGGAGCCCTGGTGATATAATGAATTACAAGCTAGGTGGCTAACCACAAGATCAGCAGTTCAAATCTATCAGCCACTCTGAGGGCGCAAGATGAGGCTTTCTGCTCCTGTAAAGATTTACAGCCTCAGAAACAATATACAGGGTCACTATGAGTCAGAAACTGATTCATTGGCACATCATCACCACCACCACATTTTTTTGTAGAGGGTTCCTGTAGTACATCTACTTAGACCACCATCTAGCCAGCTCTTTTTCTTGGTGGTAGTAGGTCTCTCTCTGTTCAACTTTCTCTCTTTTTATCTCTTATAAGACAAAAGGTGATACCGGTCACACCCTAAGAAACTCCCCCTGCATTGAATTAAGACTGTGACCTGACTCTGGGTATCGCATAACACCCTAATCCCCTTACATCAGATCAGGGCTGATCACATCAGATCACATCTTGGGGGATGTTTACATCATTACATAACTGCTAAACCACTGAGGATCATGGCCCAGCCAAATCAATTGTTGTTGTTGTTAAGTGCCGTCAAGTCTGTTCTGACTCATAGGGATCCAATATGGGGGTTCTAAGGAATGACTGGTAAGTTTGAACTGCCAACCTTGTAGTTCAAACCAACCTTGCGGTCCTGTGCTTATCTTACTGCACCACACCAGGACTCTGACCAAGTCAATTGGGGGACACAATTCAATCCATACAGAAGAAATACAGCTAGAATCTTCCTTAGAAGCCAGGATACCAAGACTTTTTCTCCCATACTTTGAACATGTTATAAGGAAGAGACAATCCCTGGAGAAAGACCTCCTGCCTGGTGAAGGAAAAAAAGAGGAAGGCCCTCAGTGAGACAGATTGACACAGTGGCTACAACAATGGACTACAGACAGCAACGATTGTTAAAATGGCCCAAGACCAGGCAGTGTTCTGTTCTGTTGTACATAGGGTTCCTATGAGTCAGAACCAATTCCATGACACCCAACAACTGATAACAACAGTTTCCTTATCTGAAAAAGAAGGGCCATTAATCTACCCTGCCAGTAGCTGAGAGGAGTCCAGATTAAGTATGGAAAGGGCCTGGCCTTTAATGGCCACCTAATCAATGGTGATTATGAGATGAAGTAGGGAGAAACCCGCCTGGGCGTGGTGTTGCCCTATGAAGCCTAGTTGTTACCACTCTACTAGACCTTTGCTTATCAGAAAACTTTCTTTGGCCCACTTCCTCAGGGGGATTTTGAAAGGCAAAGGAAGATCAGGCTCAGTTTGGGAAGAAGTCAAGAAATAAGCATTTGTGGAAGTATTTCATAGCAATTAAGCACTGTTAGCTGGGAGCTAGACTTGGGGGTGGGAAAAACTGGACCTAGTATTATGTGGGAAGACCCCCCGACAAGATGGATAGGCCAAATGGCAGCATCGATGGACTCAAGCATCACAACAGTAGTGAGGTTGGCCCAGGATCGGGCAGTGTTTCATTCTGCTGTGCATAAGGTCGCTATGGGCAGGTGCCCACTCAATGGCACCTAACAACAACAACAACTAGTATGTGGCCAGAAAGGAATTCCCCATGCTGGAGAATGGCCTAGAGGATTTTTTAGGGAGTAAAGATCAGTATTCCATTGTTGGTTCTTCCTTGTTTCTTACTATGGGATACTCCCCTTCTGGGGCCTCAAATCGCCAGAAAAAGTGAGGTGTGTTCAGCAGCCATAAATTAGGTGTGGAGGGGCCTGGGCCATAGCCAGCATTGGGTGGGAGTGGAGGGAACAGGGAGAATAAATGGCCACAGTTCCAGGAAATCAGACAGAAAAGGTCACTGTGAATTGAATTGACTCAAGACATGAAAACAACAGATGGTGAAAAGAAATGTTAAGTCTATTTTCCTTGTAGATAAGGATTCTGGAGTTCACACCACATCCAAGACAGAAGCTCAAGTGATTCTGTTTGAGATGTTACAGAGAAGGGTGAACCTCCTCCCCATGAGCTGGTGGTTCACCCTAACAATGGGCATCTGGGTCATAGATGTGAGGCCTAATCATCTCAGTGGCCCTCAGCCCCACTTACTGCCCCATGTCTCTCATAGAAGGCGATGTCAGCTGAGCTGGACAACCAGAAGAAGAGAAACTGCAGGAGGGGGCAGGCAGAGTTGACTGGTGCTTCGGGTTGAACAGGAGCTTAGGAGAAGTCTCCTCTTGCCCAAAAGCAGGAGGAGCCAGCAGACTGTGTGGAGACCAGGCACTGATCCCTCAGATGGCCACGCCTCAAAGCTCGGACTTTGGATGACCTGAGTTAACAGGCAAGTCAGGCTGTGCCCCAGCTGCCTGAGGACCTGGCCTTGCTTTCTCAGTCCAGTCACAGCCACCATGCATGGGAAGACCTGGGTGCTTTCCCTGCTGCTCCTGCTGGACCTGGGGCTAGGATTTCAGAAGGTCCTGCCCCCACCCTGTGAGAGGTAGGGGGTAAGGGAGTATTGGATACGGGGCTGGGTCCAGAAGATTAAAATGAGATTTCAAGTGCTGGGGATCAATCCTTCAGAGGGAAGAGAAGGAATTAGAGTTTGTTATGTAGCAGGTCTTATGCCGGATGCTGTCTGCCCAGTACTGGGAAAAGATGTAGCTAGCTATGGATGGTCCAGTAGACTGCTGACCAAAGCCTGCCCTCTAAGCTGCTTCTTAAACTGTGCAGGGCTATCCTCAGTATTGTTCTAGCAAACTGTCTTCATGATTTCCCTAGTCTGGGTGTGAAAAGGGGTTAAGGAGCTGCCAAGTGTACCTGGGGTTAAGCCCTAACCCTGATACTCTGTGATGGGCAGCAGTCATTAAAAACCACTGCCATCGTGTCAATTCTCACTCTGTATAGGGTTTCTAAGGCTGTAAATCTTTATGGGAACAGAAAGCCTCATCCTTCTCCAAGGAGTAGCTGTGGTTTTGAACTGTGGATCTAGCAATTTATCAGTCCAATGCCAGGGCTCCTTGTGACCGTGGACAAGTCAGACCTAATTGCTCAGTCTGTTTCCACCTCCAAATAGCAGAAACTTGGCCCTGTCCTGGCTGCTGGAATCACAGGACATTATCTACCCTTCATTTCACCCCCACCCCGCTATATATGGAGCTCTGGTAGCATCGTGGTTACGAATCGGGCTGCGAACCGCAAGGTCAGCAGTTTGAAACTACCAGCTGTTCAGCGGGAGAAAGATGAGGTTTTCTGCTCCCCTAAAAACTTCTGGTGTGCCGTTGCTGGTTAATGCGGTAAACTGCAACATTGGTGTGGGCCGTTAAGGCCGGCAGTTCTAACTCGCCAGCTGCTCCTTGGAAACCCTGTACAGGGTCGCTATGAGTCAGAATTGACTCCATGGCACATAACCACCACCACTATTAGTGCGTCCGTCAGACTGCAAAGTCATTTGAACTGCAAGGTCAGTGGTTCAAGCTCACTAGTCGCTCCGTGGAAACATAGGGTCGCTATGGGTCAGAGTCAAGTCGACAGCACTTAACAACAACAACCGCTAGTTTCCTAGGGTGCAGCAGTGATCACAAAAACAAGGCCTCTGCCTTCATGGGCCTTACATTATAACCACGAACATTAATAATAGAAGATAAATGGTAATGTAAGCATTATTAAAAGTAAAGTTTAAGGGCAGCTCATGGAGGTAAGGAGAGAAGGTGTCTTTACGGAAGTGATGTTTGAGCAGAATTGTATAGATATGGGGGAAGGCAGTCCAGGCAAAAAAACTGCAATGCAAAGGCCCTGGGGACACCATCTGAGGACCAGGAACAAGGTCAGTGTGACTGGGGTAAGGAATAGAGGCCAGGAAGAAAGGCACAGAAGTGGGGTATTGGAATAGTTAAGAAGTGGTTCAACTTGAAGATTATGCTGAATCAATCACAAAATGTAAAATATTATATGAGACCACGGTTACAAAAAGTTATGAAAAGTTTATCTTGATGAAAGAAACATTCCGTGATGGTTACCTGGGGTGGGTGAGAAGGGAAAATTATTCACGGGCTAGAGAATACACAAATGGTAACATGGGTGATGAGGGAGGCCATATCCAAGATGGCCATTGGCAAAGGAAAGATGAAAGTAGAAGAAGACTCATGGAAGAGTGCAAGAAGGGAAGTGCATTGAGGTAAATACTGTTAACTTATGGTATGGAGGGGGTTGCAACCATTGGAATGAAACGAAGTGTACGATGTGTTGAATGGTAAACTGACAATCTGCTCTATTAACCTTCACTCAATTCACAACAAACAGTTAAAAAAGAATTGCTTCAATTTTGAACGTTGTTGTTGATTGATTGTGGAATATGAAAGAAAAATATTAAGTCTGGGCTAATAAGTAGATTTCATCCAGAGCCATTATCCTGACATCCTTGTCAAGAGAGCTGTGATCAAATCTCAGACTGACTGCTAAACATAGAAATAAGATTCTTCTGGTTCTCTCCAACCACTTCCAACCATCACCTCCAACCCCGGTCCACACCTGTGTCCAGTTCTCAGGAAACTCCCTTGACCAGTCTTTCCAGACTCTACTCTTCTGTTCTCCCCTGACAATCCCCCACCCCTGCCTGTCCCTGCAGCCAGATTTACTGCCATGGGAAACTCCTGTATCAAGTTCAGATGGCCAAACTCTTCCATGATGACAAGCAGTTTGTGGACATGCCACTGTCCAAGACCCCAGGTGAGAGAGTAGACTCCATTTTCTACAGAACCTTCCACCCAAAGGTGGCTGGAGGCAAGGCCAGGCAGAGAGGCTACTCTGGCTCAGGGAGGGAGTTGAGGTGGGACTCTCCTGACCCCACCTCTCCATTGCCCTCCAGACCAAGTCCTGCACAGTTTTGAAGAACTGGCCAGTGTACACAATGACAGCATCCCTAAACCGCTCCTGCAGGAGTTTGTTAGAAATAACTTCCTGGAAGCATGGCAGGAACTGCAGCCCTGGACTCCAGGGGACTGGAAAGACAGGTAAGGCCCTGGACAGGGAGCAGGAGAGGGGCACCTGGGGCAGGGTTGCTTCCCTGAACCTTGTGGGGCTCGTCCTCTTCCAGCCCCCAGTTCTTGCAGAATATCTCAGATGCCAAGTTGCGAGCCTGGGCAGGGGATCTTCACCAACTCTGGAAGAAACTGGGAAAAAAGGTACTGAAGCCCTAGACCTGTCCCCAGACCTGGTTGATTAGAAGGGCCCTGCAGAGGGTGATGCAAACTCAAGCCCCACAGCGCACCAGGCTGACCTCCTTTCCTGAGGACACCCATTCCTCCCCACCCAGGTTCCTGCACTAAATCCCTCTAGAAAGAGAATTTCTGAAGGAAGGTGCTCACTAACTTCTAACCATTCACTTCTGCCCAAAAGCCTTCCCCACAGTGCCCTAGGCAAGCCTAGCCGGCACTGCCTTCGGGCCACCCCTTGCTGCCTCTTGCACCACCTGGTTAACTGATCTGTCCACTTTGGAGCTCCTCAGGCAAGGACTTTGTCTTGTGAATACTAATTGTCATGATTACGGCTGACCTCTGTGCTTGGCACAGCCTGTTTTATCTCTTTGCTCAGAAGTGCAGAGCAGGCAGTAGTTGGCCCAAGTCTGCACAAGTGGGTGTCCCCCTCCCCCCCCAGTGGTACTCAGTTCCCCTACATTTGCTGGGGCTGCCTAGCTTACCCAGTTCCTTGGAAGAGCCCTGTGGACCCAGTTCCCTGTTAACCTCAAAATAACTGAGATCAGCTGACCTTTTCCCCACTAGCAGCCCCTCCCCCGCCACACACAGAACTATGCAGGGGACGAGCATAGAACATACCTGATGGGGACACACAGAAGCCCCCCAGCAGGGTCTCTGGTCCCACCTTTGCTTTCCCTTCAAATCTAGACAAAGGGTTGGGATTTTGTCCACACCTAGACCAGAGAATGGGTTTGGGGGCTGATCCCCTGGGCAGAAAAATGAGAGCTCAGGGAGCCAGGAGGGAATACTTCACCCCCCTCAGTTCACCTGGATCATAACAGTGGTGGAATACCTGCCTGGTTGGGTGATGGGCATTATCCATACCCTCTTATTTAGCATTTAATGTTAAATATTTACACTACAGAGACAGGCAAGTGGAAGGTGAGGAGGGCAGATGGGAGGTGAAAGGGCGGGGCTCCGGGCAGCCCTAGGCCTTGATCTTAGTCACAGGCTAGTCAGCATGCAACCCCAGGCCTTCTAGCTCCTGCCAAGCTAAGCAAGGCTTCTCCTCAATCCACTCTCTGGGGACTCCGGGTTTCCTAACTCCAGATAAAGCCAGAGGTTCTCAACCAGCCTGAGTGCTTCTCTCTGATCTACTCTAAACACCCTTTCATCGTACCTGGTGGGCGCTTTGCTGAGTTCTACTACTGGTAAGTGCAGGGGCCTGGTGGGGAACCATGGACACTGGACGTGTCCTGAGCAGGGTGGCCTCTGGTGAAGTGTGAGCTGTCCCTTCCTTCAGGGACTCCTACTGGGTGATGGAGGGTCTGCTCCTCTCGGAGATGCCTGAGACAGTGAAGGGTATGCTGCAGAATTTCCTGGACCTGGTGAAAATGTAAGAGGGGGTCCAGTAGGGAAGAGAAGCATGTGTCCATGCTTGGGACTGGCCAGGCCTCTGACACCAGGACAAGGGGCATCTCAGCAGCCTTCCTTCTTGGCAGTTACGGCCACATCCCCAATGGCGGGCGTGTGTACTACATACAGCGAAGCCAGCCCCCACTGTTGGCCCTGATGATGGACCGCTACCTGACACACACCAATGACACTGCCTTCTTAAGGTAGGTCCTGTCCCACCTCACCTCACCAGCACCACCATCCAGGACTGTGGGGCCTCCAGGAAGAGGGTGGGACAGGGCCTTGGGCTGAGGTGGTGCCTGGCTCCACCACAGGGAGAACATTGGGATCCTGGCCTTGGAACTGAGCTTTTGGAGTGAGAAGAGAAGTGTCAAAGTGAGCTCCAAGGGAAAGAGCTATGTTCTGAATCGCTATTATGTTCCTTATGGGGGACCCAGGTGAGAAACTGTGGGGCCTATCCTCAGTCTTGTGTCAGTTCATGCTGGTTTGAGCACCATATCACCCCTGGGAAGGAGTGTAAGTGGGTTAGCTTGACCTCTGGAGAAAAGAGAGCCCTGAGCAACCCATGGCTATGAGGGGATAGGGCAGACCCCCTTGGGACTCAGTCTCATCCCCAGTCAGGATGGCTCCAGGCTCCAGGCTCTAGCACAGAGGGGCTACTTGCCTACCCGGCCAGACAACTCACCTCCTCTCCTTGCCAGGCCAGAGTCCTTCAGCAAAGATACAGAGTTGGCGACCACCTTGCCAGAAGGTGAGTGGCAACAGGGTGCCGGCGGCCTCAGGGCTGAGACAGGGCATCTGTGGGGTGTGACAGGCCTGGCCATGCTGCCAGAACTGGCCAGGTACCTGCTCTCTGTCCACAGGCGACCGGGAGGCTCTATGGGCTGAGCTGAAGGCTGGAGCCGAGTCTGGGTGGGACTTCTCTTCCCGCTGGCTCTCTGGTGGCCAGAACCCCGACTCGCTCAGCAGCATCCGAACCAGCAAACTGGTACCTGTCGACCTCAATGCCTTCCTGTGCCAAGCGGAAGAGCTGATGGGCAGCTTCTACTTTAGACTGGGTGAGCACCCAGGGTAGGACAGGGAGAGGGACTGGTGAATTCCCTCTAGCTTCTCAGCCTGCTCAAACCCTCACCCTTAGTACCACCTAGTAGTAACCCACCCTTGTCTTCTCACCTCTCCTCTCTCCCTTCATTTGTACTTTGATGACCTCTAGAGCATGTGAAAGGAGCTCTAGTAGCATAATAGGTTGCCCATTAGGCTACTAACCACAAGGCCAGCAGTTCAAATCCACCAGCAGGTCCATGGGGAAAAGATGAGGCTTTCTGCTCCCATAAAGATTATCACCTCAGAAACCCTACACAGGGTCGCTGTGAGTTAGAACTGACTCCACAGCACATAACCACCACCAGGCAGGTGAGTGGACAGACAGACAGCCTAGCCACACCACCTTTCCCCAAGTAACTGCTCTTGACTCCCTCAGGAGGCTGGGCCCAGGAACAGGCTAGTGCACACCTTGGAAGTGGTTGCAGGGCCATGTGCTAAGGGAATTTCAGGGTCTTTGAAACCTGGTGGCACAGTGGTTAAGCACTCAGCTGCTAATTGCATCAGTGGTTTGGACCCACCAGGGAGAACCCTTGGAAACTCTATGAGGCAGTTCTACTCTTTCCAAGACGCTCACCTATCAGTCAGAATCAACCTGATGGGCAATGAATAACAGTGACACCTGGAATGTGGTGGCTTCAGATAGGCATGCCCTGATCTTCAGGTCTTCTCACCCACTGGGGAGAAACATAGGCCAGAATAGAGCCCTATGAGGCATGGGGCCCAAGGGCTAGGGCCCTAGTTGCTAGAGTCTGAAGGCAGTCCTGCTTCAGGGGATGATTTCCAAGCTACGAAGTACAGAAATTTACGAGCACAGCGTATGGAGGCCATGAAGGACATCCTGTGGGATGAGGAGAAAGGTGTCTGGTTCGACTATGACCTTGAGAATGGGAAGAGGAACCCAGAGTTTTACCCATCCAACCTCACTCCTCTCTGGGCCGGCTGCTTCTCTGACCCTGCTGCTTCGGACAAGGCTCTCAAGTACCTGGAGGTGAGGGTAATCACAAGGGAAGCTCTGTGACACAAGAGGGGGACTGCCTTCGCCCTCCTAGACTCTTGAGTAGTAAGGCCTCAGTAAGAGGCAGCCACCCACCCTTTTCTAGCCTGTGATTCCCACTGGAGTCACCAGGGGGAAGCTGTGAGCCAAGAAGAGCCAGCATCCTGGCTTCTGGTCCAGTTCCACCCACAGACATGATACCCGGAACCTTTTAGGACATTCAGATCCTGAACTACAAGCATGGAATCCCAACCTCTCTCCGGAAGACAGGCCAACAATGGGACTTCCCCAATGCCTGGGCTCCACTGCAGGACCTGGTTATTAGAGGTAGGGAAGCAGGGATAAAGCCTTGTCCCCCTAAGTATAGAGGGTGTGTCTCCTCCCCGGTACTGGGAGGGATAAACAAAGGATTTGGGATCCACTTACTTTACTTCTCTCGTTCCTGTGAGCCTTCACCTCCCACTCAACACCAGTATCTACTCCCACCTGTCCCTTGGGATCAGTTCTGGATTAAGAGCAGGTTTAGCCAGGAAGGAGACCTGAGACCTAGGGCCTCTTTCCTTCCTCTGGAGAATTCAGGGTCTCACATGGGGTGGGGGTCTAGGTCTGGCCAAGTCATCCTCACTCCGGACCCAGGAAGTAGCATTCCAGCTGGCCCAGAATTGGATCCGAACAAACTTTGATGTCTACTCCAAAACGTTAGCCATGTATGAGAAGGTAAGTTGCCCTGTGCCCAGTCCCGCTGGGACTTCTTTGTGGGCATGACATGGGAAGTGTCAGCCTTTGGAAAGCCTAGGGTCAACAAGTCAAGGATGGTGGTGGCACCAAGTGGCCATTCTTGAGCACTGCAGGAGTCAGAGCTACAGGTCAGAGGGTTTCTTCTAAGGGGGTGCCCATTCCTTTGCCCATTTGGGCTGGGTGGTGGAGATGGGGGTACTGTCTGATCCTCGGCCTGCCTCTTCTCCCCAGTATGACATCAGCAATGGTGGACAACCAGGAGGCGGAGGGGAGTATGAAGTTCAGGTGAGTGGGCCAGGAGTGAACTTCTCACACATAACTCCAGGGCTCTATTGTTCCCAACTGAGCATGAATTCCCTTATTCAGGCTTCAGTTTCCTCACCTGTAGGCAGGTCCATGGGGGAGGAGCCTGATTCGACTGGTACCCCTTTGCACCTCTGGGGTTAGGCAGGCCAGAGGCCCGGGGTAGATCACATAGCCCCAGAGAACTTGACTCACTGGACATTCCTCTCCAGGAGGGGTTTGGCTGGACCAACGGAGTGGTTCTGATGCTCTTGGACCACTATGGTGACCGGCTGACCTCGGGGGCCTGGTCAGCTCTCCAGGAACCCCATTACCTGCTGGTGGCCCTCGTGCTCAACCTCCTGCAATGGTGGTGGTGATGGCATTTCCCATCAGCCTCCACTCCTATCTGGCTCCAGTTCCTGCCTCAATAAACCTCTGTCATCTCCTACCTCTCACCCGCTCTCCTGCTCTCCTCTCTCCATGAGACCGGATACCCTGCCTGCTTCCCAGCCAGCCCTCTGCTAAAGTGAGGGCAGGATAACAACCCAAGTTGAGAGTTGGGGCCTGAGACTCTTCTGGATCCTTTTTTTAAAAAAAAACAAAAAACACACCTCACTTCCATCAAGTGAATTCCATCTCATAGCAACCCTAAGTAAGATTTCCAAGACTGAATCTTCACCAAAACAAATAGCTTCATCTCTCTCCTGAACCACTAACCTTAGGTGAACAGCTTTAACTCACTCCTAACTCACCCTAACTTACCCAGAAGTCCTAACTCACAGTGCTGCCAGGGCTTGCTCCTTTGTTGTTGTTAAGTGCTGTCGAGTCGGTTCCAACGTTTAGTGACCCTGCATAGGGTTTCCCAGGAGCACCTGATGACTTGGAAGCACGGACTTTGAAATTCAAACTGACTTTGTGGTCCAGTGCATTATTAACCCACCAGTCACACCAGGGCTCAGGGCTCCTTTGTTGTTGTTGTTGTTGTTGTTGTTGTGTGCCGTGGAGTCGGTTCCAACTCATAGGGACCCTGCACAGGGTTTCCAAGGCTGTTAATCTTTACGGGAGCAGAACGCCTCATCTTTCTCCTGCGGAGCAACTGGTAGTTTCGAACTGTTGACCTTGCGGTTCGCAGCCCGATTCGTAACCACTACGCTACCAGAGCTCCTTTACTAGGGTAGAAATATTGTTTTGGGGAGAACACTTGAACTTCTTATCACAAGTATCCCAGTTTCATACACCCCACACAACCTGGGTCCCCTAAACACTTACATACTCCAAATGCTTTATTGTTCTGCTGAAATGCTTACAAATACTGAAAAACACCCAGCCCAGGCCCAGGCAACCATGGGCCCAGGTGCTGGAGAGGAGCAGGGGAGGTGGTGTTAGTGTTAAGGCGTGAAGGGCTGCTTGTTTGCTTGCTCTTTCCCTTTCCATCACCCTTCCTGGGCAGAGGGGAGAGCAGGCCAGAGCTCAGGCCCTTCATCTTCACTTCCTCTCCTACCCAGGCTTCCTTTCAGGGAGCCACTGAGACGCTCTACCCTGTACAGAACCAAGGAGGGCTGTCCAGCTTCGCCTCCCATCATACACATCGTCCCTCTGCTGGGCATCCGCTCTCCCTCCCAGGTTCATACCTTCTGGCTCTAAGCAAGGCACGAGTGGATGGGAGAGGGTTACTTGGGGCTGGCAGGCTGTGCGTCAGGGCCTGGAGACACAGGCAGGGGCAGGTGGAAGGTGCCCAGGGGCCTGGGCTGGAGAGATGGCGGCATGTACCCTTGGATGAGGCCCACAGGCTAAAGTGGGTGCTAAGTCACAGCACCATGGCAATGAGCATAACCATGGTGATGAAACAGTCACTATGGGGACCACTGAGGATGGGTCTGCAACAGGGGGTGGGGCTGGGACCTCAAGGATGACTCACCTCTTTCTCTGGCCCTTGAGCCAGAAAAAAATTTTTTTAAGTCAGGAAAATGATGGGGATGGAGTGGAGTTGAAAACTATACCGTCTGAGCCGTTACCCCACTCTAGATGTGGCTCTGTCAGCTCCCAAGACCCCTGCACAGGGAGCTGAAGCAAGAGGGGATCTTTGGCAGATTCTGGTACCATAATTTGTCCTTTACGAAAGAAAACAGGCTGGAGAATCAGGAACCAGCTCAAAGCGGGAGCTCTCTCTGGAGTAATTCCATGGCCTTCGTCCCTGGCTAGGTCCTGGAACCGTTATTGCAGATTCCAGATCTTTCTTCTCTTGGCTGGTTCTCAACAGGCTAGAGCCTGGAAACTCTGAACCACACTCCTCACAGAATATGACAGGCCTTGTACCCCTGGCCCCACTCTCCCCTCCCAGGCCTGGAAGGTGCGGGGCATTGCTGTGGGGCTGTCTCCAGAGCAGGCAGAGCAGCAGGTGGCTGGGCATGGGTCCAGGGAGGCCCACAGGGTCAGTTCATGAACTGAGTGTAGCCCTCCGCCCCGGTGACAATGACATCCATCCAGATGCGCATGGCTTCTGCAGAAGGGGCCACCATGTAGTACAGCCGGTCATGGGTCTTCACACAGAAAGTGAGGCCTGGGTTTGGGCTCTGCCAAGGGGAGAGACAAGAATCTGAGAGGACTTGGATGCCTCCAAGTTTGTCCCTGCCCTTCCTCACTCTCAGGAAGCCCTGGAGCTCAGGCTGAAACCCCACCAGCCTATATGGGCTCCAGGCTGGATGTTCCTGGGTTGTCCCTGATTCTCCCAGTCTCTTTAGACACTGGTCAGGATAATACCAAGGTCAGACTAAAAGTGAATACCAAGAGAACCAGATCCAAAGGACAGAGCAAAGGGAACCAAGGGTCCCCTCTTGGCCAAAAAAAGGGGCAAATGAGAAAAGTAATAAGAGGGTTGCTGGACTCCAGGGTCCCCAGAGGAGCTCAGAGATCAGGGCATTTGGGTGGATGGTCTCTGTTTATCTATTCCACTCTATCCTCTAGTCTCTGAGGACCCTACACACCCAAGCCCACCTGCCACCATCTCCCAAGAGATAAGGAGCTAGCAGGGCTCAGGCTCAGGGGCTTCCTGTTCTCCCAGCCCACCTCCCACCTCCTTCAGGCCTGGGACAGGGGGTTGAGGGGAGAGTCAAGGGTCAGAGGCTGGTGGGGTACAGGAAGCATTAATAAGTAGTAGTTCTGGTTACAGGTATAGGTGGTACCTCAGTCACCATAGTGAAGCTGAAAAAGCTCTTCTGGGGAAGGGGAGAGGGAGAGAGGAAGAGAAAGTTTTAAAGAGGACAAGGACTGGGCAGAGCCTCTGAAGAGGAAATATTGCAGGCAGGCCTCTGCTCCCAGAGCCCTCTGGGCCCACCCTCCCCAGACCAGTCCCCCCGGGCCCCTGGCGCCCTCCACCGCTGACCTTGGCTGCACTACGAAGGTGGTCATAGTACACCTCTTCAATGGCCTGGAAGTAGATGACCCCCTTCAGCTTCGTCTCATGCTTGTCTGCAAAGGAAAAGAAAGGCCAGGCTGAGGAGGCCTGTTGCACCTCAGGCGAAGTCCCACCACTGACAGTTCCCAGGAGCCTCAGTTTTTCCATTTGGGAACTGAGGTTTTGGTCCCCTTGGCCTCCCAAACACTGCCTTGCACACAGCCCTGAAAGTACAGATTAAGCTCAGCCTCATTTAATAATCACAGAGAACTAACTGCAAATTAGAACCACAGTGAAATGCCACAGTGCACGCTGCCATGCTCACGGAGTAATGAGTGGGAATATAAATGGGCAGAACCCTATGGACAACTTGGCCATGCCGCTCAAAAGTAGAGAGGCATTTACCCTTTGACCTTTTGACCGGATGATTGTACAAAATGAAATGTACAAAATGAAAAATGTACAAGATTATTTATTATGGGTAGCCACAAAAGACTGGACACAAGCAATGGGTCCATCACCAGCAGATTAGTAAACAAATTATAGTATACCACTCAGAATCATGAAAAAGACCAGGTGCACTGGTCGGATAGAGACTAGTGGATCCCCCTAGACGATGACCCTTAGGCACCCTTCAGGTCTAGAAATGAACTCAATTTTCAGTCCAACAATAGACAAATCTAACAATAACACTAGTGACCTATAATACCTTAGAATTAATCAACCAGTGGAGACCAACAGGGAAGCACTTACCCCAGGACAAAGTTCAGAAAGGTTAGAAAAGGAGGAGGAATGGAAACAGGAAACACAGGAAGTGGGATAAGTGATGAGGTGAAACAAAATGTGCATCAACTGTGAATGGAAAATGGATCTAGTCTGTAAACATTCACCCAATTCACAACAAGAAATTAAAAAAAATATAAAGCCTTGAGAAAGGATGGAAGAAGTTTTTAAAAAATTATAGTGCACCATATGATGGATACATAAAATGACCAAGAAATTCCAAACATGGATATACTACAGAACTATACCTCTAAAAGACACAAAATCTATAATGGCTACAGGGGAAGGAGGAGGGAAAATTATTCATGGGCTAGAGGGTAGACACATGTTAACATGGGTGACAGGGCTGGTAATATACAACAAGAGAGAAGTTAACAGAGGAAAGATGAAGGTAGAGGGAGTCACTGGGAGGAAAATGAATAGAATAAATACCTCCAACTGATGGTACACAGAGGAGATTGCAATCACTTAATGAAGCAAAGTATATGATTTTTTTAAATGTAAAACTAACGATCTGCTCTGAAAACCTTCACTCAATTCACAATAAAAAGTTTGTCTTTTTTTCTTAAAGGGATTGCAATCAATGAGATGAAACAAAATGTGCATGAATTGTTAAATGAAAAACTGATCTACTCTATAAACCTTTACCCAATTCACAATAAAAAGTTAAAAACATATAAAGACTTAAGATAGGATGGGAAATAAATCATAGTGAGCCATATATAGAAAAAAATTCTAGTATACCATTTGATGGATATATAAAATGACACAGAAATATCTGCTGTAGGTATGGTACAGAAATATATAAAAGTACATCCAGATAGAAATATCTAGATACAGATATATCTGATTGGAAACGGTCTCTAACATGTAAGGAGGAAAATAAGGAACGTAGTGTATGTGATCTTTTGAATAAGAAAAAAGAGAAAGTCAAAATAGGTGTTTGCATTGGTTCAGATTCTGAATAAATTCCAAAAGGACACACGAGAGATTAATGCAAGTTATTACTTGCTGGAGCAGGGGCATAATTCTCGATTATTCTGTGACTTCTGAACCATATGAATGCATTTACCTATTACGCTAAAATTTCAGAAGGAAAGGAGGGCTAGGGTAGAGGGATGAGGTAGGAAAACCAGCAAAACTGGAGGTGACAGCTCAGGAGGTGGGAGGAGAGGCCTGGGCCTTCTTGTCTGTGGACAC